ATGTCTACCTAAACAAGGTGCTGCTTGACAAAAAAATTTTCTTGCAAAGCTAGAATTTACCCTTCATAACTCCTGCTTAGTAGAGGATTGTCCAAGTGCGTGCTCTGTATCATGACTATGACCCTCGTGAGGAAATATGTCTACCTAAACAAGGTGCTGCTTGACAAAAAATTTGATTGAAAGTACAGTATTGAAAATGAAAATGTACTCATAGGCCACCAAATTCTCTTCAAAATATCCTAGATGGTGAAAGGTTAAGTGTCCCTCCAAGGCTGGTGCTTATTTCCAGTTTCTGTAGCATGAAGCAACTGGGAGTATCTCTACTCCCCCTATGGATAGGAGAGCACTCTGAGAGTAAAGTGTCTTGTCCAGGAACACAACACAATGTCCCTGGCCAGGGATCAAACATGGACCACTTGATCCGGAGGGAATGCATTAACCATGAGGCCACCACACCTCCATCAAAATATCCTAGACAAGTCACTCAAACAGGTCAGAGCATAAAATCATGATCTGTTATCAATTTCCATGATGTTTGATGATATAGGAAGTAAAACCAATACAGATAATTCATATATTAACAAGGTTAAGTAACAGTTCTCACCTGTCTGAGGTCTCCGCAAACTTTTTCTTGTAATATGCCTCTAATTCCTCTGCATTTTTATCCCTAACAAATTCATTAAATATTTGCTTCATTATCACGTCTCTCTAGTGTGAAGACATGTTAATGTAGATTTGAGAAATTATCAGGTGGTATTCTTTACATGGTAATCATTAAAGAAATGTGAAAACTACGTATTAGTGATGAAAACAAAATATCTGCATGTAATTCAATTGTACCAGTACATGAATGCAGTAACTCTTATGAACTAAAATCAAATATGGAGATTAAATTACATGAAATCAAACAATATATATACACAGTGGAAACCTGCCTTACAGCTAACCCTTTCATAAGGCCACTTCATTATTATTGCTACTTTATTCTGGCCAGTATTTGAACCCCTTGATTNCCCTTCATAACCCCTGCTTAGTAGAGGATTGTCCAAGTGCGTGCTCTGTATCATGACTATGACCCTCGTGGGGAAATATGTCTACCTAAACAAGGTGCTGCTTGACAAAAAATTTGATTGAAAGTACAGTATTAAAAATGAAAATGAGCTCATGGGCCACCAAATTCTCTTCAAAGTATCGTAGATGGTAAAAGGTTAAGTGTCCCTCCAAGGCTGGTGCTTATTTCCAGTTTCTGTAGCATGAAGCAACTGGGAGTATCTCTACTCCCCCTCTGGATAGGAGAGCACTGTGAGAGTAAAGTGTCTTGTCCAGGAACACAACACAATGTCCCTGGCCAGGGTTCAAACACAGACCACTTGAACCAGAGGGAATGCATTCACCATGAGGCCACCACACCTCCATCAAAATATCCTAGACAAGTCACTCAAACAGGTCAGAGCATAAAGTTATGATCTGTTATCAATTTCTATGATGTTTGATGATATAGGAAGTAAAACCAATACAGATAATTCACATATTAACAAGGTTAAATAACAGTTCTCACCTGTCTGAGGTCTCCGCAAACTTTTTCTTGTAATACGCCTCTAATTCCTCTGCATTTTTATCCCTAACAAATTCATTAAAT